GGCAGTGTTAACCTATCCCAAGAATCACCACCACCCCTATACGACCAGGTTATGTTTTGACTTCACCAACAACATTGCCGAACACGAAGTCTGTATACTAGGGCTAGAAGCTGCCATTGATTTAAGAATAAAACACCTAGAAGTGTTCGGGGATTCTGCGTTAGTCATATATCAGGTTAACGGCGAATGGGATACTAAACACCCTAAACTGATTCCATATCAGGATCATGTTTTAAAGTTAGCTGCGGAATTTACAGAAATCACTTCCAGTCATATCCCACGAGAAGAAAATCAAATGGCAAACGCCCTGGCAACCCTATCAGCTATGTTCAAAGTGACCTGGCCGAATCACGAACCGCGTATTACGATTAGACATTTCGAAGAACTTGCACATTGCCTCGCTATTGAGGAAGGACCCGACATTAAACCTTGGTTTTTAACATCAAGAAGTACTTAGAAAGGCAGGAGTACCCAAAAAATGCCTCTATCATTGACAAGCGAACCTTGCACATGTTAGCTTCCAAGTTCTTTCTAAGTAAAGGAGTGGTATACAAAAGAAATTAAGATATGGTATTACTCAGATGTGTGGAAAAGCAAGAAGCAGATACCCTTATGAGAGAAATCCACGAAGGCACCTTCGGGACTCATACAAACGGGCGCGCCATGGCTAGAAAGATTCTGCGAGCAGGGTATTACTGATTAACAATGGAATCTGATTGCTATCATTACACAAAGACATGTTGTTGTACCCCAAAATTTTCCCTCCCATTTCTCATTGATTTCTCATCACAAAGCCCTTGAAGCTCAAGATCCAATTAGGGTTTCATCTGCTCAAAGACTTCTCCTTGCAATATTGACCCTAATTAGGGTTTGTGTTTGCACAAAGTTTTTTTGACCCAAAATGCCTAAGATGACTCTCTTGCTTCATATTAGACTCCCAAGTTTACCCTCATCAAGTTTCAAGTCTTGATTCCAAGTTTTGCCCAGTCAATTGGACAGTTGACCTAGAAATCAACTGTATTGGGGAAAAAGTCAACTGTGGCCAATTGACAGTCAAATCTCATGAAAATTGACCCACATCAACATTATGAACTCACATGGACCATTTGATCAAGTTTGGATCACCATTCCACAAGAAATTTGATCAGACCACTAAAAGGGCAAAATGGTCATTTTTAGGGTTTTGACTGCACAAAGGCAATTTTTGACTGTTTGACCTAGCCAATGGCAAACCAAGCTCACATATGGACTCAAGGACCCCATGGAATTGTCTTGACATGCTCAACAAGTTCAAAAGATCCCAAGTACACAAGATTGACAGTTGAATTTCCCAGTCAATTGATCAATTTTGACTGTATACTGAAAAGTCAAACTTTGACTTTTTGGTCAAAATCAAGAGTCAAGATTCATTTTTCATCAAAACATGCCAAATCATGAAACTTGTTCACCAAGAAATCAAAAAATGCAAATTAGGGTTAGAAATAAGGATTTTTCATAACTTAGAATTTTTCTAAGTTATGAAAAACCCTAATTTTTTCCCAACTTTGCCCCACTTTCTCACCATGATTCATTTGGATTCAAACAAAAGTCAAAACATGAAAGTTGTAGCTTGTTGCATAATCTACAACTTTGATTCACAAAGTTTTCCCAAATGAGGCTTGTGTCTCAAGTTACAAATTTTTGAATAAGGGCACTAAACCATTCTTAACTTAGTGAATTTTTAACCTATTTTGACAAGGTTTTCTACCCAACTTCAAGGCCATTTTCCATACACTTCCACTTGGAATTTCTATTTTCATTTCAAAGATGGATTGTAGTACACATTCCAAGCTTTCCAAAATGCCCAAGAACTTCTCAAACAACCTCATAACTTGAGAGAATCGAATTTCACAATATGGCAAAAACTCACTTTTGAATTGGCTATTTTTCATGTTCATAATTTGTGCAAACTTCTCAAACCATCATGCCCCTTGATTAAAGGTCCTTAAACCATCCAACACTCAATAATTTAATGCATGTTCATTGTGTTAAAGCATTGTTCTTTGAGTTCAAGCATTGCATACAAGTTTAATCCATTTATGGAAAAAGCAAAATAACCATTTTTGAAAAGTTAAGCTTTATGTCCAATTGAAAATCCAAGAGGTACAGATGAGATCTAATTGGCACAAGATTATGAGCAAAACACTCTGATCAAGGATATATTATGCAGCACATTAGGGGGCCTCTACTGACCTAGAACACAACTTGGGCATTTGTTGCTTAAAGTGTAAGTAACTTGGCATTTTGGAGGACAACTCTCATATCAGCTTGCAAACCCTTAAGCAAACTTTGAAAACACATCCAGGACATTCCAACCAAGCTAGTACACGACCCTAACATCCCTCATACACCCCCAATCCCAGAATCACCTTCAAACTGCAAGAACAGGGCAAGGCCTGCAGTTTGAGTGCCATCTTTCATTCCTCTCAAGCTTTCTTGCCCAAACCAGTTCACACACATTCCCTAGCATCAGTGCAAGCTAACCAAGACCTGAAACACGATCTGTAATTCCTCTAACAAGTTCCACCATTTTCACTTTTTCATTTTGCAGTTGAAGTTCCACAGCTCGATTCAAGGTGTCTCAAGGCAAAGTAAATATTGGAACAACATCACCACACCTCAAGGAAGCTATACCAACCATTATCTTGCATTGAAAGCTTCCCCATTGCCAGATAGAACTTCAACTGAACAGGTACTTTGATGAACTTCTAACTCTTAGTATAGGCATCATTAGCTCTAGGTTTGTGAATAAGGAATGTTCTACTCATGCCACTGAACCTGTACATGCTTTTACTTTTCATTTCTTTTGCTTGAGCTGTGAGAATTTAAGGTTTAAAAATGGCAGAAAACTTAGGTCAGGATTTGGGATTGTTAAAATTCTCTCTCATTTCTGAGAGTTAGGATGAGTTTTTTATATATTTAGAATCGTGATTCAATGCTTAACATTTCTTATGTTGGAAGTTTGTTCATAAAATCAAGGAATCAGGATATTCGAATGAAGGTTCTTGCGCGCATTTTTTTGAATAAGCTTTGTTCAGAGGTTGAAGAAGGTGCCTCATGGGCTGGGGCCAGCTTTGGTTCTGCTTTTTGCACCATATTTTGTGATTCATACCCCCTGAGCCCATTTGCTTGATTTAATATTTTTTTTTATTTTTCTTTTTTCATTTTCACTCATTTATTTTTTCTAATAATGTTTAAAACCTGAAAAATCATTTTTACACCATTTTTGCATTTTTTAAGTATTTATTTGTTTATATATATACTATTATACATAAATATAGATATATACTATTATTTAGAAATATTATTAATAATGTAAACATATTGTATTTCTGATTTTTATTTCATTTTTTTCCTTTTGAAACATTTTGTATAAAAAATACTTTTTTTATATATAAAATTA